CCCCCCCCCCCCCCCCCCCCCCCCCCCCCTCACCCCAGCCTCAACCAAGGCCATGTTTCCCATCACACCAGCCCCCAGTGGTGCTGCATTCCCCACATCACCAGCCTCAGTGCAGTTATGCTCCTTGCCACCAGCCCTGGCCAGGGCTGTGCTTCCCACCATGCCAGCCCTGCTGGGGATGTACTCCTCACTGCCAGCCAGGGCTCTAATCCAACAAAATCCATGGTCCATCACTGCCAGATCAGAGAGTCCTGGATTTTAGAGGTTCCAACTGTACTTTCCTTTACGCGAACCCCCTCACACCTGCACATCCCTTTGTAGTAGAGGGCCATCCCAATGAATTCAAACATTTAGATGCCCTTACTTTCAGATTAATTTTGCAGTCCCCAGTTCTTGTCTCCATGTCTAATGGAGACAGCTAATGCAGGCAGATACCAGCCTGTCAGCCAGATCCAGTCCCCCAAAGGCAAACCCTGGTGGACTCTCGCTGTTACATTTACCTGCGCCTCCACAGCTCTATTGGCCAGGAACAGTGATCTGCAGCCAACGAGAGCGGCAGGCGCCAGTACCTGTGGAGGCGCAGGTAAATATGGTGGCAGCAGCCCACCATAGGCTAACCATGGCAAATGGCCATTGTTTTATTGCCCCCTCCCTGAGCCAGAGCCACCATTATTATCAGTAGTCTATGAAAAGTTCGTTAGGATTTCGAGGTTGTTCTTGTGTTTGATAAGACTTGTAACTTTCAGTCCTAACTACATATACATATATATATATACACACACATATACATAAAAACCTCAAGAAATGAGCTGGTAGCACTTTATAGGCTAACCAGACATGTAGATGGTATCATGAGCTTTCGTGGGCACAGAACTCCAGTCATCTGAAGAAGTAGACTGTGCCCACGAAAGCTCACGATAACATCTACATGTTTGGTTATTCTATAAAATGCTACCAGATTATTTCTTGGTTTCCCCCCCTCCCTGTATAGACTAACTCAGCTACCCCCTGAAGCTTCTGTACATTTATATAGTACCCAGTTAAATTAGTCTTGTATGGAGGAAGCCAGTACAAGCTTCACCTCCCCAAATGGGAATTCTCTGGTCCAGCAATGGACCATGTATATTCCTGGATCAGAGAATCCAAGTAGCAGGAGGGCAATTTAGGAAGGGCTGGGCTGAAGCAGCTGGATGGGGCAAAGGGTGCAGCCCACAGCACTGGGACAAGGTCAGGGCAGCCCCCAGCAGCTCAGGACCAGGCTAGCAACATCCTGTGGCAGGGCAGTAGCAATGTCAGAGCCCGTAGACTGCTGTGGGGCAGGTGCCCAAGCCTTCAGCAGCCCACTGGACTAGGGCTAGCAGCAGTGGGGCTGGAACCCTGGGCAGCCTGCAGAAGTGGGGCCAGAGCCTGCGTGTTGCCATGGAACTGGGACTTGAGCCCAAGCCCTTAGCAGCCTCAGCAGGGCCAGAGCCAACCTCCAGCAGCCCACGGTAGCATGGGACTGGAGCCTGTGGAAGCCTACAGCAGTACAGGCTCCTGGGCCCAGCAGGTAGTCTTCTTGCCCTGCTGCTGTTGCCGCCCTGGCCAGTAACCCAACTGGCAGTCCAGCCAAGGCTGGAAGTAGTAAGGGCCCTTCCCGGAGCTGGCAGAGTCAGCAGCTCAGGGCTGTGGCAGGGAACCTTCTCTGGTCCAGCAAATTCCCTGGTTTGGGACTAGTCAGGTCTTAGGGTGCTGGATCAGGAAGGACCCAACTGCACAAGAATCCAGTACTGAATTGAGCATGCCAATTTCAAAGACAGAATCTATCTTATTACACCATTTTCTGTAAATACTTACCAAAACTAAGATCCATTGGATTTTCTATGGGTGCCAAGGGTTTTCTGTCTCCTAGTGATGTTACAGCTGTAGCTAAGCCTAGGACTTCTTCATGGGATACTGCCTTTTTAGGAACCGCTTGCTTCTTTTTACGCTCTCCATCAGGCTCATCCACATGGATGGTAAAAGCAGGCTGTTTGCTACCTGCTTTCCCAGCTGGAACCTTGCCACAGTTTTCATCAGTAATACTCCAGGGTGCTTGAGCAACAGCAGTCTAGGACAAGAGTTGGCCATTAGTGTTTCCCGGGAGCCCTCCCCTTCCTTCCAGCAAGGCCGGGGAGCCCCAAGTAACAGCAGCACAAATCGCGCCGCGTTTCCAGCGCAGCCCAACGCCCCGCGGTTTGTATCGCGATTTAGGGCTGTCGACAGAGGCCCCGCGGCGCTGCTCAGAGCCGGTCAGGTCGGGCCTGAGCAAGCCGCCTGCCTGCCAGCGAGGAGCCGCCAGCGCGCGCGCGGAGGGGAGGCCCGCGCTCCGCGGGGGGGGG